AATTTAAGGTCATTCACAGCATTATTATTGTTCTAATAGCAAATAAGTTTGCTACATTCTAAAGTGATGAACTTCTACACAAATAATTAAAGTTACCACGGTGAACAACACTTTCACTCATGGACATCTACTGTGATGGGTGTTTTGTATGGGATTTATTTTCACTGGTTTTTGATGAGTTGAATGTAAAATATAGGAAAACAGCTATTTTTGCTGGATTTTATTTTCACTGAATCATCCCTCAGCGAAAATAACGAAAGTAAATTTCAAATGAAAATAAAGTATTTTATAGTATATTGTTTTGGCATCACAGAAGAAAATTGTATTAGAAAAGAAATTCTGAAACATTGATATGAACTATTTTTATTTGCAGAGACAAAACTCTGCGATGATTATACACAGTTGGAAAAAATATATAGTGTTTCAAAACTGACGAACCTTTTGCATCGCTTTGCAAAGAATGTCATTTCCTTTATGTATTGGCACTTCGACAGAACCTAAAAACTTCATTAGGAATGTATCTAAGAAACACTTCTTACCATTTAGCCCTGGAAAATGGGAAAATCATGTTCAAGGGTGGTAGTCGCCGCGCCACGTTGTGTTCAATATCGACGTACACAACGTGTGTAAAATACAGTGTTTGTTTACATGAAAATCGAACATGCGCCGCGCGACGACCACCATCCCTTTGTTGTTATATATCTGATAAGGTCAATTAATTAGTGCATGTGTATCACAAGTTTGTGTCGAAAGTCACGGCAAAGTAACGCAGCCGGGTTTGATAACGCGGTTATCGTCAGCAAACTCATTTGATCTGTAACCATGTACATTCTACGATTATGTCAGTTCTATTTTTAGTAAGACTTAGTAATCAGATGCATGTAATTATAAGATTCTGTAAATCAACAAAGAGGATTAATTGTCAGATATCACAAGATAGGAAAAATTTAAAGCTTTAGGAAAAAGCTCCAACGTGCACTGAAGATACCCTGGGTGTGTCTACCACAGACTCAATGGGAAGGCCAATTCCACTGGCCGAGATTCATTCGCTAACGAATGCGACTTTGGGGGAATTTTGGTTAAGGTTCGCAGGTGCTTGTGTTCGACTGAGCCTGGTTGACACCAGGATAGCACATTTAAATTGCCATTTGATAGAGAGATGGCCACACAACCCTGTCATGTAGTCCCTAACATAAATATGACTTCTGTGGCAAAAATGCACTTGCAATTTGCACATGCAAAAAAAAAACGTCAGGAGAGACAACAGTGACATTTAATGTACGGAACTGCCACCAGGCACAAAAAACTATCATAAAAAAAAAAAAGATATTGAAAAAAGAATGTCATGTACAAAAAACCCACACATTATTTATAATAAATTCAATATGACAAGAAATAAATTATAGACAATATGTACAGATATCTACCAGGGATTAATATCAAGCATGGTTTTGACATGTGTATATGACGACTGAATTTAAATCAAATTTGAGTGCACTAGACCATTCATTTTGAATTGTAATTTGTTTTACTTGTGGGACTATTCACACTGCATAATTTATAAATGTGCGCTATTTTACAAGCTACAAACTATAATATGCCGTTAATGACAAAAAATGTACTAGAGTTCATTAAAGAGATTTATATAGTCCTCTAACTTTAATTGAATCCTTGTAAACGCCATTAAATCTTTGATTGCCTAAGTTTGTCAGCTTTTACAAAATTAATCCAAAATACTGTATTTGCTCTATTAGTAACGCATCCACTTACTAGTATGTAAATTATATATGTGTGTCTACAGTCAAAATAAGTCGTCTGTCACAGTAACGCTGTCACAGTAACGCCACAAGTTACAGCGTGCCATAATTTTGCGGTATTTTACAGGGTATTTTCATCCTACAATATAAGGAAATGCGAATTCCAAATATGGAAAGATTACATGCGTAAGCATCCTCTAATAATAAAAACAAACATGGCTGCCACTAGGGTTTGACCTGACTCCACACAAAGAAGTTGGCTGATTCTGTTCTAAACTTTTTAGATTTCAGCATCCCATGATGTATCCTTGGATAGAAAATAATAAGGTTATTACGAAGATAGCTCAAAGTATGTACTCAGACAGTACGCTGTTGCATCAACCTCCGCTATGGTCAGTCGATACTCCTGCTGTACTGTCTTTGTGCATACTTTGAGGTATCCTCGTAATAAGCTCATATTATAATGATTCAGTATACATCCAAACTAATATTCAGTTTATATGTACATTTATTAGAGATGTGCTTCTAATAGAACAAATATGGTAATTGCTATCCATTTTTTTTAAAAAACATTTTGATCAAGATCTGTGACCAATGAGAAATTATGTCCATCAGGTTGAAAATACAAAGAATTAAATTATAGTAAAATACATGAAGACTTAAAAATCAATATTTTGGCCTGGAAATTTACGGTGTTCAGAGGGTTATATATTCAAAATGTGATAACTTCTAATTCATATTCTAAGTATATACTTTTAGAATATATATTTTGTGAAAATTCTATATAAGATCTGACATTTTTGTTTCTAAAAACACCACTGATGTTAAAACAAAAGCATCTATGAATCGCCATTATTAATGGGTAAAAACGGTCAGCTGGCGATGTGTTGACTTGCAAATGAGAGTACAGTGGAGACGCACACTTGGGTTACGCATATAATTAAAGTACACCTTACCTGGTTCACTTTCAGTATCCTCCGATATTTCCCGAACATAGACGCCCGGAAAACATCCCTCACAACCGTTTCGCAAGTTAACGCCCTCATACCAGAGGTCATCACACATATTCTCTACATATATAGGGTCACCAATATCAAGTTCAATTTCATCTTCATGCCTCGGTAGAAAACGAAACATCACTAAGTGTGTCTGTTGCTTGATTTCTCCATCGATGCACAGCGTTGCCAGGGTGAAGTCACTTTTCTTCTTGGGAGATTCTTAATGATAGAAATAAAATATGAAAGAAGTTAATTACCGGGGTATATTCAGGTTATTTTAATGGTAATATTGGGCTATCAACATATGATATTATTAGGATGTATAATTTCCAAATATGGAATTTTAAGTATTCATGCAAAAAAAACAAATAAAACAAATTTAATGTTTCAGGTAATGGCAGAGATTTTTATTTTTTTATTTTATTTTTTCCAATAAGTTGTGACAAACTCTGAGGTGTTTTTTTGAACTATAGGACGTAAATGGTAAATGTATTCCAAGATTACCATACCAAGAACATAGCTAATTTGCATACAAATGAATAATTTGGAGCTAATTTGCATACAATAAACATATAATTTTCTGCCAAAATATGGGGGTTACTGAATAAACTAAATTTATTTTCTTTGCCCTTAGCATCAATTAAAAAAATGTGTTGTCTTTGCGATGACTCTAATATTGAAATTAAAAAAATAAAATAGTAATATACTAAATTTACCTCTAACACTGTTAACTAAGGATGTGTTTTCAACCACTGATTATTCTAAAATAATGTATCTGAAACATTTGGATTTGACTAATCAATATACAATTAACATAATTCTGTTACTATAACAACAGACAGATAGTAACCATGACAACATACTAATCAATAGTTTTATAATGATTTACAAATTAAAATTTCAAATGTCTGATTGCATCATGGATTTAAGATAACATATTTTTTTTGCCGCAAACTCAATTTTTCAAAGTTTATTGGCCTTAAAGTAATGTTTTATTGCATACACTAATATCATCAATATATTACAAAATTATTTATAAAAGCATCAATATATTCCTAATCAAAAAATTCATTTTACAAATTCCCCTAAATGTTCTGCATATTTTTGACGGAAATACCACAGCCAAGATATATGCTTGGGCAAATATGTAATACTGCTGATGAAAGGTGATGAATGAAATAAGTCTTCGATTTATTTGTTGGCATTCTGAATTTTAACAATGAATTAAATATATGAAATGTTTGAACTATTATTCAAAGAAAGAAATCATGCTTATTTTCCACAGTGCATCTTGGATGTTAAAGGTACCGAGGGTATATCATTCCAATTTACCGCCTCCATTCCTATAGAGATGAATTTTTAAATGCATACGAATTAAACCCTGTGAGCAGAGGATGTGACAACAAAATTTCTTCTTTCAATATTCTCAATTTTAGCAATGTATTAAATATATAAAATGTTTGAAAAATTATTCAAAGAAAAAAAATGTTTATTTTTGACAGAGCATCATAAATGTTCAAGGTATATTGTTTTTTAACTGCCTTCGTCCCTGTACGAATTAAACCCTTCAAGCAGAGAAAGTGACAGCAAAAAGATTCTCCAAAGTGTGTGGGTGTAAATTTGGTTTCTATACTCAGTACATTTATATTGCATCAAGTGACTTACAGATAACCTTCGATGACATCATCAGTGTATATAAACCACCTAATTGACCAGAATCAGCTACATGTAACTAAGGTTAAAATCAATCCAATATTGTTTGCGAACAGTAATATGTGACAGTTGTGTCAACCACACAAGTATCTATCTAATAGATAATTTATAAGAAGTGTACCAGACACGCATACAATTTTAAAAATACATATGATAAGAATATTAATATTTAACTTGTGAATTTAGGCTTGAAAACTCAGTTGTCTGTTACAAATACTTGTACTGGAAATGCCAAGCCTTTTATATACATGTACCATCTTTGATGTTGGATTCAAATTTGTATCACAACTTATAGACAAATTTTTTTTGTTTTGTTTTTCACATAATAAAATTGCAATTATGAAAACATTATGACACAAAATTATATTTGGGAATTACAAATCATTTACACTCAAATATGAGTATGTTTATGTCACGAATAAATATATTAAATAACAATAATTTGGATATATTAGTACCAGTATAGCAACATATTACAGAATAAACTGTCTATAGAATTTACTGTCAAATATGTTTTTTTAGCTAGCTATTTTAGCTAATTTAGCTACTTTGTGATATTGCTAATTCAATGTCACTAATTTAAAATAAAGTATATTTTAACAATGAGATTGTTGGCACTTTAGCTAATTTAAGATTCTCTTAATTCATGCATCGAGTCAAATTCGCTAAATTGGCATAAAGTTATTTTTACAATACATGTAGTTTGTAAGAGTTTGTAACAGAATTTACAAAACAACTATTGATTACTAAGACAGTAGGACTTTGATGGATAAGTGCAAGGCATTCAAATGTTCATCAATAATAAGATCAAGTAAAAACTTATACATATTGACATCACTGTGACACTATATAGAGGTTTCTATTACTATTCCATACGAATAATCAGTATGAATTTATTTTTAGAGAAAACCTACAATTTTCTCCATGAACTGTGATAACTTCAGAATAACAACTGCTATAAATTACTGGTAACTTACCAGTAGTTGGAGCAACATCGGATTTATTAAATAAATTCTTCAACTTTGCTGTTTTGCTGGATTTCTCTTCGTTGATCGAGTCTTCAAGGAGCAACAAGTTACCGGCTGACAGCATGGGTCGATTTTCTCTACTAATGGAATCAAAATGAAATCCTGGGGATTCGGTTGGAATTATGGTGACTGTAGGAGGGCACTGTTCTGGTGAGTATCCATACTCTTCTTCTTTCTTGGTATCTTCTTCTGTCTTGGCTTTCTCGGCTTGTTCTATTTCATTTTGTAAATTACCTAATGAGAGTGAGGTTCAAGATAATAAATGAAGGGAACAACAATGACAATGATGACAGAGAATGCATACTTTTCATTTTTGATATGTGATAAATGTATAATATTGGAGATAATAGTGCTGTTGATTTACATAATCTAACAGCTTTACCAGACTTTATGGGCAATCGAGCTGAAACAGACTTCGATAATATCACTTCTTTACCAAAAATGACAAAGATATTCACTAATATAAATAAAACAAGCCTGATAGAAGTATACAAAGGTTGCTACATATTAAGGTAGAGATGCAGTTTATTTGGCTTGCTTTTTAATTGAGTAATTAGACAATGAAGATGGTATTATATATCCAACATGTTATATATTTTCTGAAAGCTTATTATACAAACTTTGTAAAACTTGTCTTTATTTTAAATATCCAGAATGCGTTTTTGATTTTGGGTCAAAAATATGCTTTTTTGGACAAAAGTGGTTTAAAAAAAATTAGCTTAAAAACTTCAAGTCCGTTTGTGGGTAAAATTACATCACTGGATACCTTGGTATACTACTAATTCAAATGCGTCCACTCATTCCTCTAACGGCTTTCAAAGTCGCACAGCATGACCTCAAAGTTCACTCTTTTCTATTTTTGCATAATTTATATATCCATGTT